TTTTTTTCCCGATAAAAGAATTCATTCTGTTTTACTCTTTCTAATTAAAAGGTTAATTTTTCCAGATTGTTCCTACTCAAAAGTACTTTCCTTTATTAAGACTTCAGCTATTTTGTAGTATGTATGGGGAGAGTTTCTTTACACTATATGCTTAAAAACTATTGTATCATATTCGACTAAAGACGAGATCGAGTAAGACAACATTCTTTTTTTCGAAACGCTGAACTTTTGCTCACATCTTACTAATAAGATTGACCGCTGACAAAAACATCGCGATCCCCTACCAGCCTTAGAGTGAAATGGAGACACTATTATGCGCGTAATATATATATTTTTTTCTTCTGTTAGAAATGACTATATCTGTTTCTTTTCTTACAATCGTGCTATCTATCACTTGTTTTCTTGGTTTTATCTGTGGAAAACCAGATCATATTTATTGGCATAACTGGTTTGTATTTCCTTTTCCTTTTTTAATTATTTTGCAATTTATTGTTCTTGAACGTAGGTCTGATCGTGATAGGGTATCACACTTTTCTCAATGTAGTTTAACAAATTGGACATTTGTTAATTATTTACCTCCCAGTGATCCGTTATGGACGAATACAAAAGATGGTAAGTAGAACAGTCTAATAATCGTCACCTCTTTTCAATATAACAGATTTTTAACTGTCGAAAATAGGTTCAACTAAAACTGTATTTATGCAATTGCCTGTTGGTTGGAATGGACCGTGGCATACTGATCCAGTACCCCAAATCGTTATATTCCTTCAAGGAACAGGTACATGGACAACAATGGATGGCACTAATCATACATTTAATACGGGTGATGTTTATTTTGGTAATGATCAAGCGTCAAAAAATGGACATTATTCTAGAAATATAGGGGAAGTTCCCATGTATCTCGTTCTTATACAATTTGCTAATTGGCCAACAATGATAAACGAGCCCTGTTGGTTGACATGATAGGCAGAGCTTTTGTTTGTTCTTATAGGCAGCTTTAAATAGAGACTGTATGAATTTACTGATCGATCTGTATCACACGTAAATATTGCTCATTAAAAATATCACCTTTAGTCAGCTGCAGAACCATTATGATCAACTAAACTGATGACGTCACGTTGAATCTTGGATTTCTCAAACTTCCAGATGGGTTCGCTCTGTTTCGTCGTAACTAAAACGCTTTTTTCTTTGGATCGATGGCACCGAAAACTTGGTCTGCCATGTAAATGTAGCAGTAACAACAGGAATTATTTTCAAATTCATTTTAATTTTATTTAGTTAGAAATCATATAATTTTCTACTTTTCAAAAGTACACCTTTCATTCTTAGCCGTAATAGTAAAACGTTTAAGAGAAGCTCCGCCATAGCACCGATCGTGTTTTCCAGAGGAAAATTTTATTTTATTTTTATTTATGTCTCGTTCAAAAGAGTATACGAAATAACCACTAACTTTGCAATAATTCGTTCTAAAAGTGCTTTTTTAAAAAGCTAGAGGCCAAACACTCTGTTGAGGGTCACTCTTGTTACCAAAAAAACGTGAATTTTCAATACTTTTAGTATTTTTCGATTTTCTGAAAAACTATCAAGATTCTATGATTCGTTATGGCTCATTTGAAAGAGAAATGTTTACTCTATAAGATCATATATTTAGACATAATAATATGTTTAAGAGCCATTGTCTGAGAAAGTCAGACACTGCCAGACAGGTGCTTATACTGGCATTTCCGAAAGTTTACGTCAAAAGAGGATAAAATCTTTTCTACATACTTCTGATATGCTAGGTAATCTGTGGCTAAAAAGAGATCATGGAAAAGGTCTCCATCCGGATTTGGCAAAGGTTTTAATTAGCACCCCTACCTCTCAAAAGACTTGCTAATTTCTCAGAATCCTGAATAGCTATAGAACCGAGAGTAAGTGGATTTAGACCAGTTTTCAATGCTGATTCTGAAAATCTCATCAAAAGTTTTGCTAAATGTTTTGGAAAACCCGTAGGAAAACCCTTAGAAATCCAAAATTATGCAAATTTTTTCTGATCATTCTCCTAGATAAAATATGTATTCCTGAACATGCTGTAGCCGTTTTTGATGTTCTATGGTATCCATTAAGGGAGTTATAGCAATTTTATGTGGACTACAAGGCCTTCCAGAGGTATCTTATTACGAATGCTTTTCCTTGAGTGAGAAACTTGTTCTCGTTTCTCATTTTACCGATTGCTCCTCCAACTGTTATGTGAAAACTTTATCTTCAAGTGTATATACTCTAAAATGAGTGGACTGAGCTTGCAAAGGACAGATTATTAAGCTTTCATAAAATAAGAGTACCGTCGAAAAGTTGGGCTCAAAACAGTTTGTAGGATCGTTAGCCGCGAAAAATATTTATCGCGTTGATCTTTCCCATCAGGAAGAGGTCATCCAACGGAAAGAAAGGTAATCTTTCTAAATGAAATTTCAACTGCAAGTTTATTTCAAGGTGTGCGAGCGCGAACTACTAAAAACGAGCACAGACAATTCATCAAAAATACTTTTTTAGGATCAACACACGGCTTTGAATGCCTTACCATCTAATGCATGTGAACGCATTAAATGACTTCGAGCCTGTGTGAACGTGCTGAATGGACGAAATTATTTTTTAAGACATTCTAATGCGTGAACTTACTAATGCCTTTAAATATTGTTGTAAATTTTAATAGGCAATAGTATGATCACGTCGTATGAGTGAATAAATAAGATTAAAAAGCTCATTTCTTTTTCTGCAGATCTAATAGAGATGTATCCTTTGTGTTATTTGTTTTCTACACATGTGACATATATTCATGTCTCGAGCACATTCGTCACAGGCGCCATGTCCACATGTGAATACAGTTGATTTTGGTCGTTCCATACAAATAGAACATTCATTAAGTTCTTCTAATTCCTTGATTTTGGTTTCTAATTCTTGTAATTTGTCAGGATTTCTTATCGTATTTAGTGTCATTGATGGTACTGATTCAACAGCTAAAAGAGAAAAATTATGAGAATAAACCTCAAGTAACACTTTTGGTCGTTATGATTTGGCAGACTATCATGATTTAGCCTTGGTATCTTCTCAGATGATCTTGATTAAGCGTGATCAAAAATCTTTTTTTGGAAAAAAAGTTACTGTTGGTCATCAAACACTTGTCTCAAGGAAAACTGTACTGATTTTTTTCCCGATAAAAGAATTCATTCTGTTTTACTCTTTCTAATTAAAAGGTTAATTTTTCCAGATTGTTCCTACTCAAAAGTACTTTCCTTTATTAAGACTTCAGCTATTTTGTAGTATGTATGGTGAGAGTTTCCAGATTATCCGTTATCAGATCAGAAAATGATATGCTGAAAATGTTAGACGTAGGATGATGTCACCGGATCCGACATCATTATCTTAACAAATAAAAAGCAAGAAAATATCGGTCAGCATTCAGAATATGTGAGATAACTACATTTAGTATGGAAGCAAATTATCAAAAAATAAGTTTTTTACCTTGTCCAAAGTTAACTTTTGACGAGCCACGACAATTGTTTGTAGCTTTATTTATACAGTTCTTATGAACACTTAGTTTGCAATCTGCAAATGAAAGAAACGACACAATGTATTGAAGGGCGTTTCAATATGTCTTCCAATGGATTTTTTTGATATCAAAAACTTCGTTTGCCCGCATTAGCTATTTTTTAACCTATTTAACAGCATTAAATATTAATAAATTCATATACGTTAACTGATTTGAAAAGAAGGTTCTAATGCGTTGACACGCTTTAAATATAGCATATCAAAAGTAAACGAAAAAGTTCGCATCTATTAAAAAGTCGTTAATACGTTAAAACTATATAAAATGGATAGTTAACGCATTAGCCCAGCAAAAAAACGCGTTATAGTCTCATATTAAATGTTTTCAAGGCTCTTCTGGCGTTAAAATTAAATTAACCATTAACGCTTTTAACGCGTTTGGACAATGCTTACTATTAACGCATGGTAAATTTCAAAGTTCTTTAACGCGTTAAAACTCTTTTAACGTACTCAAACGCGTTAAAATTCCTTAATTCATGCGAACGCATTGAACTTTAAGGCATTCAAAGACCTTAAAAACTTTCTGCGCGTTGGCAGGTTTTAATATGTTGAAACGCATTTGAAGACATTAGATTTCAAGGCGTTTGAATATATTAAGGTTTTTTAATGCGTTTTAAAGTATTAAAATTTCTAAATTCATGTAAATGCAAGAAATTTTAACGAGTTTACGTGCATTAAAACTGTTCAAGGTCTGTAAACTCATCGCAATTTCTAAATGCGTTTCAATTCATTAAAACTTATAAGATTTGTATGAATTGAGCAGTTTTAACACGTTTGAGTACGTTAAAACCTTTCATACATTAAAGCAGATGAAATTGTTTCATTCATGACAACGCATTGAATTCTAACGCATTTTAATGCATTCATCTATGATTATATGAACAGAAGGCTCAACTGTTCGGTAGAGTCCTTAAGACCCGTGTAGTATGTCTGCTTGGATAGAAGGGGTCATCCTAGACCAAACTTTTTGAGGGGAATCCAATGGTGATGTCTGGACGAAATTATTTTTTGAGTGTTCTTAAGAAGTGTTAATGTGTTCACAGGCATTTATTTCTAATGTATGTGAATACATTAAATGAAGTAGAGCCCGTGTGAACTAATTAAATGGACGAAAATACCTTTTAAGGCGTTTGAATGCATAAAATAATTGCACGGCTTTGAATGCCTTACCATCTAATGCATGTGAACGCATTAAATGACTTCGAGCCTGTGTGAACGAGTTGAATGGACGAAATTTTTTCTTGAAGACATTCTAATGCGTGAACTTACTAATGCCTTTAAATATTGTGCAGAGAGCAAGTTTGTAAGTTATTTAACTTACTTAACTTACCTAAAAGTGTTCGGTTCTGAGGAGTTACGCGCAAACTACAGCCTCTCTCAACTTATCCTTAGAACTGATTACTGTTCCTCGAGAGAGAGCTTGATTGAAGTCGAAACTTGCGCTTTCTGCTTGTGTCAAAATTTTGAGAGACATTTAATGGAAAAAATTGGAAAAATTCGGTTATTCTGCAGAAGTCTGTAGTAAAATTTCCGTATCTCAAGTAGCATCACACACGAATTTTTTCTGTGTTTTTCTGCAGAAACAAATGTTTTATTCAGAAAAACACACGTAGTATAACGCAAAAAGAGAATTCTGCGATAAAAGGCAAAAAGCTGTCGTTTTCTTATTTATTTTTGCGTGGCAGAAATACAGCGCAAGAAAACGCATATAAGAACCATGCGTTTTCGGACGTTGCGCTGTAGTGGTCCAAAAAGTGCCATAAAACCAAGGGGGAAAAAGCGGACTCCTGGACTCCTATGAACTTCTATGGACTCCTGAATGCTAGGAGTCCAAGAGCAAAGTGTCCTTTTTTGGGAATCACTTCCCAAAAATTGGACACTTTGTTCTTTTTTGGGAAGTGATTCCCAAAAAAGGACACTTTGCTCTTGGACTCCTGGACTTCAGGAGTCCATGGGAGTCCAGGAGTCCAGGAGTCCGCTTTTTCCCCCTTGCATAAAACGCACGTTCCTGCAGAAATCGTTAAAAATATTTGGCATGGATGGTGTCCTCGGAGGTAAGAATTTGATATCTTGAAAAACAAACAAGAAAGACTAAACGTTTCAGCACGTTTAAATGAGATGATGATGATACACTTTGAAAACTTGAAAAAAATTGTTGGAAATGTGTTTAATGCATTTGAACGTGTGAAAAAATAAAAGAATTTAAATGTGTTAGTTAATATGGCATTTGGAGATGTTGAATCTGTAAAAATGCATTAGAAAAATTAAAATAGTTTAGGCTCCAAAATGCATTAACTTTTAACGCATGCGAAGGTGTTAAAATTTCTTTTTATTTATTTTATGTGTTCACACGTATTAAACGTCGGAGATGTCGATTTTAA